ATTAGTGGCATGTCTTTATGAATAATTAAAAACTGGATTTTTTTAAGTTATTTACAATGTTCGATCCCAACGGTCAGTCTTTAAATAATAAATAGCTAACATATACATATACTATAAATAAAGCAATAAATATACATTATTTACTTTTTTAAATCGCTTTTATCATAGTCCGGCGGGAGAGTCGCTAAGATCACATGGCTAGAGGACCATTTTTTTGGGGAATATTTCCTGTCTGTTTATGTAGAAAAAGCCCCCACAATATGTGTAGCTAGTTTATTTACAAATTATATATTTTCGCAAGTATGTTTCAAGCGCAGTCTAATTTTCAAAGTATTTTACTTTTTTTTTTCTCTACCAACGAAGAAAAATATTTTGCTTAATTAGGTCCCATTGTTCAAAGGAAAATGGGCATATTTAATTCACTTACCAACTGTAATAAATTAAATTATACACTTGTGGGTAATAATATTTTTTTTCCATAATATTCTATCTTATGTAGATAATCAATTATATTACCTGCACTATTGGTTAAGTACTAAAAAATATTTTTTTAACATTCACACTGACGGTGAGTACTATGGAAAGACAATCAAATATTTTTGAAATTTTTACATGTACCATTGAACTCAACATTAAACAAGACAGTGCAAGAATTTTAATACCATCTAAATTAAGTAAAATTTTACTAGACTATATGCCAAGGAACATCCAAGAAGAAATCATCACATTCATTCATTAAATCATGACGGATTTAATACTAAAATCTAATAATTTTTAATTATTTAAAATTTAATCTTCTGATTAAATACCTAGTGCATAATTTACATAATTTACGTTGGTTGTCCAATAAATAATCCAGCCCATTCTCCTTTCCTTTTTTAATCAACTTTCCACGTTTCACGTTTTCTTTTCTACACGATATTCTGCCTTTTCACGTTCTATTAATTATTATGAAAAATAATACTTTTATTAAAAGGCTAAAGCCTTATCATCTCTTAGCTTATGTACCTAATCATTTCACGAAGGAATGATATGCTCAAAAATTTCGACAAATTCACTTATTATCCTTTCAAGTTAAACCCCTATTATCTGCCACGTAATTTAATTTCCATTTTTGATATCGTGTATTCAATTTAAAGATTCTTTTTTTTATGTACTGTGTATCGTTTAAATTGTTGTAAATAAAAAAAAACATCACTACTTATTAGTTTTGAGTGAAAATAATAATAACAAATGTATACACTGGGCGAATCACAAAAAACACCGCAGTGCCCATGACTATAAAATATCCTTTAGCTATAGTGACAACGAATAAAAGCCTACAACTAAAAAGATAACCAAAGTTGTACTGGGTATTCAAAAGGAAAACGTTAAAAATGTTTCGGATATTAAACTATTTTTTTTTCTAGAGTAAGTTTGGATATAAAATTGTAGTTATTTAAAAAATAATAATCAAAAAGTTAATTTAATAGTTTTACATTTCATCTTTAATTAGCTCGAATTTATTGAGGCAAAAACTTTTAAATTGGCTTTTAAGAAACTACGGCATCTTTTATGACTCACCTTCACTATTACGCAATTAAAAATATACATAATTATTTTACTTCTGTAACTCAAAGCTCACAAATCAGTTAAGATGACACCAAACGATGTTAAATAAATAAATAATAACGTTAGCTTTGAGACAGCTGTAAAATTAAATTTTTCTTTTAGAAAACTGCGTCAAACTAATATGACATATTTTAATTTGCCAATACAAAATTACTGGTCAAAAATCTTCTTCTTCGTTACTTACTGTGACATACGTACATTGAATTAACATGGATACAAACCCGCCTTTTATCAGGTCCCTTTCTCTATATCTTTCTTGCTTTCACTCTTTCTCCGCCCTTTTCCTTCTATCACTACCTCTTTACGTCACACGAAATGAGATCATGTACAGCGTTCGTAGCTACGTGCGCGTGCGTAAGCCGTCGCTATCGCGGCTCCTCCTTCTTGTGTATATCGTTGGGAGGGGGCGCGGTGTTGCACATTTTGTGCGCGGCAGTCACGGTTAACGGCGGTCCAGGACCGGGCATCGCTCTCAGATGCATCAAACCACCCGGATCTTTTGGTCGAAGATTAGCGGGCGGCGCGGGAGGCGGATACATACCAAACAGTTTCGCTCGCTCCTCCTCTGCTCGTATCGCCGCGTCCATTAACGGATTGTAACGGAGCGGTTCATAAGCGCGATAGTAAGGGTCGGCGGAGTGGGGAGGCCAATGAGCTGTTGTGGGCGGACCTGGTGCGTAAGGCGGTGGAATGGTAGGCGGTAGAACCCGCGATCTATCCATTACAGAAGGTAAATGGGTGGACGTCATGGGATTGTGCGAGGGTCGGGCATACGGATTGTACCGGTCCTCCTCTTTTATACGTGGCTCCTCCTTCACACGTATATCGCCGTGATGATCGAGAGTGCCGTTACGTAAGGGAGAACGGTCACGCATCACAGAAGACGACATCAGTTGTTTACTACTTTCCACCAATCTCTGCTGGTGGAGCATTCTTTCACGTTCCTGTTGGCGCTCTAACTCTCGACGTTCCATCTCGCGGCGCTCTTTCTCACGACGTTCCCGTTCACGCTGTTCTTGTTGCTAAAATAATAAATTAGTGGCATGTCTTTATAGCAAATTTACCGTTTATTACCTGTTGTTCTAACTTTCTTTGTTTCTCCTCCCGTTCCCTGCGTTCCCGTTCTTCCCGTTCTCGTCTAAGTCTCTCCCGTTCAGCTCGTTCTCTTTCTTCCCGTTCACGTTGCTGTTCAAGAACAGGGTCAGGTTTTAAAGTCCACGGTGCAGGTGGTGCAAGACCTGACACTGTTGGAGGCAAGGCGTTCACACTGGGGTGGTGAAATGTCGGAACTGTGCGCTGTAAACCTCGCCACGGGTCGTGTAAGGGTCCCATGGAGAGCTCCCTTGACGAAACTAGGAATGCTGAACTTCCCGAATTGAATCCTGCTGCCGAACCATAACGAGCGAAGGGCGATATTGCACTCCCTATATTTTAAGCATGAAAGTAAGTAATAATTAAAAAAGTAACTGTGGAATCATTATTTAGATTTTAGATCAATAATTTTTTTTCTGTATTCCTATAATTTTACCTAAAAACATAAAAAAAATGGAAAATAAAGATACCACTACCTAAATGAGAAGCTGCCGATCCGAAGATGGATCCTGGATGATGTTGGTCGTAAGGTGAAGGTCTGTGACCCGCGAGGGTTGGCGGGAACGCCAAATCGTGAGGTCTAGACAAGGCGGACGCAGCACTTGGAGGAAACAGATGAGAGGGTGTCCGAAGTAAGTCAGGTTTTACTGCCCCCGCCCCTTTCGCTTCCTTCTGCTGATGATGGTATACTTCCCACGCTATTCTGACGTGCATAGCGTTCCATTTTCCCGTTTTCTAAACGATCGCACATCAAATTAACATTGTTTAATTACCAATCATTATTGTACATAATATGTATTTCTATTTCGTTTTGGTTTAAACCATAATAAACTTACAACGTAATACGTATTAATCATTAAGAAAATTCAATAACTGTGGTTTAACTTATCATCATTACATGATTGGCAAGCAATTATTGTTAATTGATTAATAACATAGAAAGTTTGATTGACTATAATGTTTTTATTAAATTATTGTGAGAACATATGTCAAGATTCAGAAATTTTTAACACCAAAAAAACTTTTTAAAGCTTTTAGTTTTATATTTCTTAAATAAGTGCTCAATAATTAAACTATAGGAACCTCCTGAGGGTACCTACCATGGTTTTAGACTTGGTGGGGTCAAGCGGAAGGCGGGGCTGTGGACAGAGATACAGAAATGTTAAGGGGGCGCAAAAGCATGCATGAAATTATTAAAAACGAAAACACAAAAGCAAAAATTAATTTAAAAATGTGCATGAATAATATACCATTAGTTTAAATTTATGAAACCTCAGATTACTGTGTCACTATACGAATTAATTTTTGATAATAACTAACCAAACTATAACTTAATTAATTACAATTGGTTATTATCTTTTAGTGATTAAAATAAATGAAATGAGAGCAAAAGCGATGGTACCGCCGCAAAGAAAAAAGTTATATCTCGAAAGTGGCATTACCTTCGGTTGAAATGATTGTACATGATTGGGAGGCATAAACGGAGTAGGCCCGGTCAGTCCCGGATGTAGAAGACTCGGAGAATAACTGGGATAACTTGGCAATCCCAGGTTTTGACGGTAGAATGGCGAATCAATACCGCCTAACTTTGGTATATCTTTGAACTTTCAAAAAATAAAAATTATATTTAAGAATAACATTCAACATCTAATCACTAATAATGGTTCCTTTTAAAAAAGCATGGTCAAATAAAAGCACAAAGGTTTTTATAACTTCGATTCATTTTCTTTTTTGTAATTCAACTTACAATTGGTGAGGGGAACAGAGTGGAAGCCGTTGGGGGAGGTGGAAGGATCGATGTAGTATGTTGATGCACGTGAGTGTGATGATGCTGGTGTTGATGCATCTCTGTGCGTAAATAAGGAGGCGGTCCCACGTTCAGAGTCCGGTCCTGGGCCGCCAAAAACCGATTGTCCAATTCACGTCGAAGCATATCGGTTTGATCTACGAATTTAATTTATTAACACAAATAACATTCAAATAAATTAAATTTATAATGGTAGCTTACTTGTTTGAAAGAGACTTTCAGCAGAAAATGGATTAGGGGGTGGTTGATTCGACAGTGACGACGTCAACGGACTGGCCCTCGTTACAGTGGGCGGTAACGGGGCGGCGAACATGGGCTGGGGGAACGACGAATGCACTGGAGCCGGTGGCGGAGGATGAGCGGGTCGAGGAGGCACCGGACTGAGCTGGGACGTTACGCTTCCCGACCAAGGCGGTTTACCACCCATGGTAATCAGACTAGAAGATGACGCGGTCGTTATAGAAGGCGGACACGTCAGAGGAGCCGTAACGACACTGCTCCTACTTAAACTTGTTACATTGCTGTAAAAATTAATAAAACTTAAAATAATGAATTATTCGATAGACATTCAACAGTCACCTGTAACTTTCGCGTTCCCTCGCCGGACTGTGTACCTTCGGACTGCTCCGACAAACGATCACATCCCTGTGGTTGGCACTACTGGTGACAGACGACGTCAAAGACGTACCGCTACTGGGCGTTGAAGACGAAACGGCGACGTTCGAGACGACAGCGGTGACCACGACACAGGTGACAACCGCCACAGCCGGATGATGAAGGGTCGTTGGTATTGCCGTCGGTGTGACCGAGGTTGTGGGCGTGACAATCGCCGGCCGATCTGTTATCGTGGGCGGGGGAGGTGGCGACCTCGAAGGGTAGCTAACCGAAGTCGTAGTCGCATATGGTGCGTACAAGGGCTGATAAGGCGTGGACTGGTTGAAATGACCTCCTTAAAATAAGACAAATGTTACATACAATTCTTTCTATTGTATTCTTATCATTTATTACCTGTGGATGCTGCGGTATGCTGGGTGGGAGCAGCGGCGGCCAAATTGGCGGACGTGGCGACCGCTGGACTTTCGGTCCGGCCCAAAGCGGGAGGCGGAGCGGCCGAAAGTGGATGGTGGGCGACGGGTGTAGCTGCAGCCGCTTGCGGCATAGTTGTTGCTGTCATGGGTATGGCCGCGGTTTCCGGCGTAGCCGTCATGGGCGTAACTGTTTTGCACGCGGTTGCGGCAGAAATTGGAGGCACAATAGCGGCCGCCACGGGCACGGGAGGCTGCTGCGCAGGCGCGGGCGACGGCGTGGGTAGGTTGGGTGGCGTGGGTGCGGGAACCGGCGAATTACTTGCGCCATTGGTCGGCGGCAAACTGGGCGGGAGAGCACCAGGGAACTCGTGTTTGCGCGACGCTGGCGCCGAGTCGAATATCACCGAACTATCATCTGAACCCTGTTAAAAAATATGAACTTATGTACATCAGAATCACCCTGTATAGATTTAATAGACTCTCGTCAGTTTGGATATATGCATTAAATAATTTTTATATGCAAACACCTTCGGACACTATTTTATCGTGTATCACATAATTACATTTAAAATAATATTTGTCTAATTTTTATTCATATCCGATTTTGAGAACGAGATAACGTTTCCATTAGCGTCTTCTTTCTTCTGTGATGTGCTTTTTATACGACGGCGTCTTCACGACCCTCTTAGCAGAAACCCGCTTAGTTGGCAATTCGCAGATGATTTTGGGGGATTAAAATTGCTGAAGAGAGAGCGACCTTTTCTTTGTAAACGGTGCAATGTAGTGTTTCAATATCGATCAGCGTAGTTTTTTAATTGCGCCGACTCGACACACAAGTTGTCATCGTTTTTCTTTTCGTTTTCCGTGCACTTTTTTTTTGTTTTAACAAATATTACCCCGTTACCCCAAAGAAAGAGGCAAATAAAAGCGAACATTATGAAACGGATAACACAAAAAACTTCAAACGACTAGACTGTCAGATACGAATACGGTCGAAAAATCCGGCGAGCAGTTATCGAAATTAAAAGTTGAAAATAAGGAAATTCGTTCCAAATACAAAATGATTACTGAAAATTTCCTAACGTTTACAAAAAATACAATACTTGATTAAAATATGTAATTAAAAAAATTGCCGATAGTAAAACTTTTCGGGATTAATTAGGCTTATCAGTATTAAAAGAATTTTATCAAGTAAAAAGTAATTGCTACTTTAAATCTTTTCAAAGATTGAGTTTTTGAACAAAAAAAAAATAGAGTGGCTATACTGTGCAGTTTTTCAAAATTTTGTACCTCTTTTTCATCGGCATTGGACAGAGAAATAGGGGTCAACACGGTCACTTCGTCATCGCCAATTTCGACTTCCTTTTGCGCTTTCTCCACAGTTTTCGCGCTCTCCACGTTGTCTGCATTGTTTACACGCAATTTCACGATAATTGTAGTTTGGCAATTTTGCGACAGTCACAAAAAACAACTCACGTAGAAACCCAGCATATCAAAAAAAAAATCTTTCGAAAACAACACCGATCACATACCTGTATATAATCAAATCTTATTTTAAATCAAGCAGAAATATTTACAAGTCTCTAGCTTATCAACTTTTTTTCGCGCAAAAAAGAGAACAATATATATATAACGCCCTGTATAGAGTCCTTAATTCGCTCTACGACAAAAATAAAACATACACACGTCACACACACATACACGCTACTGTTCCATACTGTACATATTAATTTCACGTTTTGTTAAAAAAAAAACCGAACTGGAACAATATAAAGGAAGTAAAAGTTAAAAAAGTTTATTGTCGAGCGAGAAAAACTGAAACGATTTCTTATTATGTACCACGCTAGTCGACACCTATTTCGCAAATATATTACAAGAATAGGGAAAACCAAGAGTAGACAAAAATAACACCGGTGACAGGCGCGAAGACTTGCGCTCCAAATAGATGGATGACGTCATTTTTTGGAGGGACTTTAAATCGAATATAGGGCAACTTTTTATAAGTATACACCAGATGTTATGACTCTCTCTCTTGTTGAAATTATTGACCTGTCTTATTTAATGAAGAATTTGATATTTTCGTGCAAAAAATGAATATTTGGCTGGTATTTTTTGTACGAACATTTTTCTACGTTTTTTGTATTCTTCGAATGAGATAGTACACGCTTTTTCCATATTATTCACGATTAATTTAACATGACATAAAGCACAATAATATTCCCTGACCACTCTAGTTGTAAGTTTCCTTAACATTCCCCAACTTTTAACAAAGTTGTCTAAAGATAAGTTGATCAATAAAGACAAAAAATGATTATGAGTAGTTTGAATTATTTGGAATACAAGAATATGTTTTCTTCTGAACCATGCAAAACCATCGAAATTAATTACATGTGAAAAATTATAAGACCTTTCTGTGTCCTTTAGAAGCTATGAGCATAACCACGATATATTGAAGGGGGGGGGTGATATCGGTTTACAATTTAATATTTATCTGCTAATAATAAAAAAATAATTTAATAAAGAAAAGTTTTGAAAGTTTTTGTGAAAACGCATACAATCCAATTTACATTCATGTATGTAAGGTTGCATACATGTTCTTGCTACTGCGGTCCATAAAATTAAAAGAAGAATAAAATATGAGCCTAAATCACTCCCAGCAACCCTTTCTTAATGTTTACGAAGGCTCTTCGAAATAGAAAATTAGGCCGTGGATAAACAGACGCACAAATTTTTTGTTTAGTACAGATAAGTAAAAGTGAATATTGAAATTTCGAAAACATGGCACGACAAATTGACCTAAAAAACAACGAGAATCGTTAATCAAACTGTTAAGGGAAAAGCACGAATTCAAGCAACGACATAAACGGAGAGAAAATGCGATATAATTAAGAAACTTACCTTATCGTCATCTCCCTCGCTATCACACTGAAAAAGAGAAACAAAACAAACGGTTAATGGATGGAGAAGCAACAAAAAAAAAAGATTACAGACTCGAAGTCGTCGGAAAAGTAAATGGAAAAATTGGAAAAACAGTTCAGCGCTCGTCTGACCAGTTGATGAACAACTAACCGCCTAAAAATAACCTTTCTCTGGCGTTTTGTTTTTTCCTGTTTGCTTTTAAAAGAACTAATTAATTACTCTCTATAATAATGAAAAACACCTTTTTCCTCGTTGTTGACAAAAAGCTCTGTACTGTTTTAAATTAACGCCACATTTTTTTCCATTTACTTAAACCTACACCATAAACAAAAAAAGGATGTTACAGATATCAAATTTACAATACATATAAAAGCTAATTTAATAATTGCATATTATTGACTAGAACAAATACAAAGGACACTCGACAGTGAGAACATCGCATAATGGAAACCCCGCATGACGTGAACAGACCATAAAATACCAAACCTTCGCTTATAGAAAAGAATATCCATTGGCCTTAAAAATCGACATTTCGTCGTTACTGTTGCGTTAATGATGTAAATCCCCGATATATTTGGTAGTGTTATTAAAAATTCGCAGAAGCAAACAAACTTTAACAAAATACATATGTTATTTCATTACTGTTTTGTATTTTTGTTAGCACCTTTTAATGACTATGTATTCGTTTTTTATATTTGTATGTATGCTTATTTTGTTAACATTCGTTAAAGTGAACAAATCGACATTGTGAACTGCTTTTTTTCAGTTCACACTATCGAGTGTCTAGTATGATTATGAATAAGTTCCATATTTTAAAAATAATAAAAAATAAAATAAATTAANCACAAGGCACTGGAGATAAGGGAAATTTATGAACTGAAAACATTCAAGACATGAGAAGTGAAGGGCAAAAATTAAGATTTTTTTTAGTAAATAAACAAAATAATAAAAAAAGGAATCTGAACAAAAAATGTATGTTTTCATATTATCTAATCACAATTATGAAATGTCCAAGAAATAAAGATTACTTATGAGGTCAACTAAACCACTATATTTTCGTTTTTCTTTTAAATCACTTAATATTATTTTAATTAGAAACTGAGCCAATTGAACCACCCAAATATCGTTTAAAATGATTCATTATTTTCAAAATAAAAAATGTTTTCACAAAAATTTTAATAAAACGAAAATGACTGATTCAGGGAATTTCTAAGAAAAAAAAATGAGATAGAGAAAGAGTCAAGATCAAAATGTAGCTCTAGGTTTGACTTACGCCTTTAGACAAATCTCGAAATACATTCTAAGATTAAATTTAAATCAAATGAAATGTAAAAATCTTATTCTACTGAATGGCTAGAAACAGAACTTGGTCATTTACGACAACACTTTTTTTTTTAAATAATTCCGCAAACAGTAATTATTACTTTCTCACTCTACAGTTAAACAGTAAAAGGAAAATAAATAAATAAAATTTGATACTTACGATATATCCTTTACCAGAACTACACCGACTACTCGTCTGTAATAAAAAGAAAACAGAAACAATTAAAAGACGGTAATTAAGTGACAGATTAAGAATTTCAAATAGACAGTATTACAATAATAATTTCAACTTACATCGCTAAGTCGATCTCTTGAGCTGTCAGCATCTCTGGGGGGTAATGATGACCCTGTAAGTCGTTCCGAAGCCCTACCACTGTCGTCACTGGTACCAGCATCAAGCTGAAAAAAACAAATGACACAATTAACAATAACTATAGCTATTAAAAATTAACTACATGTACTGTTTATTGCAATTAAAAATGCACTTACATGAACATGTTGGTGAGACGAGATATGGTGCGAAATTTGTGGCCTTGGGTGGTGCTCAACACGTGGCGTTTTATCTTCCAAAAGACGTTTAATGTCTTTACTAGCGAGTTTTATCACAGACTAAAAATAAAACAGGTCAAACATAAGACAAATATAAATTTTAAAAATTTCAAATTTTATTTCAATAACAAGTGATATTTTATTAAAATTATCAAGATATGTAAGTAAAAGGTTTCTTTATACGTTAATACAATAATAGGTACTCATGTATGATACAGATAAAGTTCATTGAGTATTTTATCACAAATCCCAGGTAGGTAGGTAGGTACTTAGTTGTTTATTTTTAGGTATAAATCCAATTTAATCGAACTCAAAGATTACTTTTTAACTAGTCATTAAAAAGATTTAACGAAAACATAAAATATAAGTAGTTACAAAGGTATTTCATTGCTTAATGTACTGATTTGAAGTTTTGATAAATGTAATGAACACTTAACAGTATTATACTTCAAATTATCTAATCTTTTTTGAGTTAAGCTTTCAACCTGAACTATTAGTAGTAATTATATTCATTGCTTTCCTAAAAAGTACTTAAATATGACAAGAACTTAAAATGCACGAGCTGATAGTTAGACAGATAATGCATACAAGAGTATTTTTACAATACTTATCTATAAATTGTAATTTAGTAATTGGTCCACATCAGTAATTGTAATTATAATAAAGATGTAATAAATTTAGACAAAGAAACTACGTTTAATTGTAAAGCAAATGCATAGAAAGGGGGTGGATTTTGTAAATGACAATATAAATAATGTAATATCAAAAGCCATACCTCTAAATCATCATAAGTACGAAATGCAAGAATAGAAAACCCATCAATGATGTCCTCTTCGACAATAGGTTCCTTGGATTTTTTCCTACGAGCAGGAGGTCTTTGGGGCTTCTCCCTGAGGACGGCACTTTCAGAATCCTCCTCGCCCGAGTCGGCGGGGTGCTTAGAATTAGCCTTACTCTCCCTCTGCATACGCTGGGCCCTCTTTCGTCGCCGATTGCGCTGTTTTACCTCCACGTCCATGGCCACATCACACTACATCTCGTTAATTACATTACATATTTTTCTTGATTCTAACACGACATCACCATACACGAATTTTTCAGTATTTGTTAGCAAGACCATCGACACCTGGAGGAAAACCAATGGCGGACGAACGACCGCACACTAACACTAACGTCGGTCCTGTTTTCGCCCAACATTTTGCCACCGACCGGTGAAAATGCATCGTACGAAAATTGGAAAAGCACCATGTACAAAACACGACACCCACAATTTAAATTAAACAAAAAATAACACAATTTTTGACAATATTTACAATTTACACAGCCAGTCAATACCAGCAGGCATCCAACGCATGGTGATATCGGTTTACAATTTAATATTTATCTGCTAATAATAAAAAAATAATTTAATAAAGAAAAGTTTTGAAAGTTTTTGTGAAAACCACCCATGGTAATCAGACTAGAAGATGACGCGGTCGTTATAGAAGGCGGACACGTCAGAGGAGCCGTAACGACACTGCTCCTACTTAAACTTGTTACATTGCTGTAAAAATTAATAAAACTTAAAATAATGAATTATTCGATAGACATTCAACAGTCACCTGTAACTTTCGCGTTCCCTCGCCGGACTGTGTACCTTCGGACTGCTCCGACAAACGATCACATCCCTGTGGTTGGCANTTGTAATTTTAAGTAAAATTAAAAAACAAAAATAAAATTTGAACAAGATTATTGAACTCAAAATCTTTATGGAATACTGCAATTAAAAAAAGTGAAAAAAATCATAGAACTCAATAGTCTATGGAATACATGTTAAGATTGGTTTCTTATTCAAAGAAGTCCTTATTTTAATATTTAAAACAGTAATAACTACATTCGGATAAGAACGTAGTTTATAGTGGACAAAAAGGATGAATAGGTCTCACTTTTCCTTAATAAACGCTATCTTCAAATTCAGCTGTTTATATATAAGCTTCAAGTTTAAAACATAGTACCTTTACAAAATATTAATTAATAATTAAAATAATTAGTAAAATAATACGTTTTTGATAAATCATTCGCTTTATTGAAACGAAGTACGATATTTCTCTAACTTAGTTAAAATTAACTTAAAAAAAAGCAATAATTCATTAACAACATCAGTTAAAAAAAAGATATTACATATTTTAATGATATCGAATTAATTTAAGCTTGTGCAGTGAGATGTTTGTGAACACATTCTTCTTTGTTAATTAAATGAGTAGTTTTGTTAACCAGTTGCATGAGAGTTGAGAGATCATAAGCCCAATCATTCAGCACATCACTGGGATCCTTCGATTGCTGAAAGTGTACAACGCCAGAAGGACGATCTGTCTTGGCCTGGACATTTTTATTTACAACCATATTAGACAAAAATTCTTCGATTTCTGAAATACTTAAATCCAGTAATTCTGCCATTCTTGATAAACGAATGCGAGTGTAATATTTCGCCATCACACGAATGTTGTGTTCCACAATTCTATTTCTATAGACAAAAACACATAATAGTAATAAATTTCTACAAATCAAAATCAAGCTTAAAATTTTTCTTTGTAAAAATGTCTAAACACATTAAAAATGACAAATTAATAACAGTTCCTTTAAATTTAAAACAAATAAAATCGAATAGTGTTTTAATACATTACAATTTTTACCTTAAATCACTCCATCTTTGTTTAGCCTGTTCATTTCCACTAAAAACTGGTGTTGCTTTCAAAGCCTCTTCATAAACCTCACAAAGACCAGACCATTTTATGAGTTCAGGATTGACAAAAAGTTTAAGCAACTGTTTAAAAAGTGGAATTTCCTCCAGTGATTTGTCAGTCAATACACGATGTGTAAGATCTGCCTGCTCATTATCATGAGGTGCCAAAATTAAATACAGAACAACGGCTTGTGCAGTCGCTATACGTTCATCGGGGTTTCCCTGAATCGAAGGTGTATTGAGAACTGCCCTATAATGTTTACATGTAGCCAAATAAGAACCTTCATGTTGATCCAATTGCATCATTAGACGGTAATACTTGAGTTTCAAGTCCTATGCATAAAACAATAATTATTAAGGTAATATCAAAAACAGTCATCATTAAACATCATTTTATAGCATGATAATAAACTTACTTGTGTACCCTCATCATCGAAAAATTTAGTGTTTATTTTCTTTGAAATAATTTGAGTTCGTATGTAGTCTTGTTTGGCTAAACAAAGACGCATTTGTTCAAGAATAAGTTCTACTTTTTCTCTCTTTTCCATTGACCCATAAGTTTCCACCTGTAATTCCTGAATAATATTTGCTGCCTCTGTAATATTGCCTTCTTCCTCTTTTATTTGTGCCAGTTTATGAGTTAAACGAGCTCTTTCAACTTCTACATAAATTTTTCCTTCTGTCACATGTCTATTAATAAAAAACCAATTAATCAACAAGCCTCATCAGCAAAAACAAGCTTATATACAAAGTACCTTAATGTTTCAATTAGTTTAACTTTTGTCTCTTTGTCAGGTGTTTGATGAACATAAGAAACACACTCTTGAACCATTTTTGCTATGGCTTGCTTTAACTGTGCCCTCCTTTTTGATAGTGTTATAATATGTTCATTTAGAGCGGTCCAATTGTTAGCATCTTTACAAATCTGACAAATAGCAACTAATACTCTTCCAGTTGATACCATATCAGCCCCAGTACGGGTCTGTTTCTCTAATGACAACAGAATATCTAACGCATCATGAAGTTTACCAGAAGCAGCTAATTTCTTGCATTCTGGAATTTTTTCATCGCAAGTGGAAGTGTAATCCACTTCCATTTTTACAATTTTTCCAGAATCTGTAGCCATATGCTCCATCTTGAGAAAATAATTTTACGATTAACGCTTCCACAAAGAAATAACTAACCTATAAATAATAAACAAAGAAATGTTATGAAAAATGTAGAAAATTTTATAGCTATTTATACTAGTATTTCAAATGCTTATTTTATTAAACTTACAGTATAAAATTATTAAACTTCGAAGTTAAGTGAAAAGTGAAATAATGGAACGGTAATAAGATAATCAAATACTGCCGGTCATCCACAAATTGTAACTTTTGGGAGTTTTTTGTTATCGTTAATCCTTATGTTGCTTGCCTGGATTTGCCTTGCAGTTGGCATTAACTAATTATCTATGGTCAGTTGATCGGCCCATAGATTAGGATCGGCCATTGATCGGCTTACTCTTTGTGTATCTATTATCTATGATCTATTATCTATGTCGGCTTTCGATTGTCAAACGTTTGTCAAATGTTAGCTCGTGTTTGTCTTAAAAATAAAGTTTTTGGGCTAAAAAATTAGTGTATTGATTATTTAAGAGATCTTGCTTAATTAACAACAAAATGACATTAACGGATGGAAAATCGGAGGATGAAACGCCACATTTTGTACCGCCTTTAATTCAGGATAATCCTAACGGCTGGGGCCCATGTGAATTACCGGAGCAATTTAAAGATATGCCGTATCAGCCCTTCAGTAAGGGAGATCGTTTAGGAAAAATTAGCGATTGGACTGGTGCTGCATTTCAAGATAAAAAATATGCCAGTTAGTTTTTATTATTTCTTAACCACACTTTATTCATTTAGTTTTGTAATACATACATTTTTATTCCAAATAGATAAATACGCGTCCCAATTCGGTTCTGGAAGTCAGTATGCATATTATCATGACGAAGACGAAAGTACTTTCCATTTGGTTGACACAACTCGTGTTCAGAAACCTCCATATCAGAGAGGCCGTTTCAAGACCAATCAAAGAAATATGCGTGGAAGAGGTATACGGGGAGTTCAAGCTGGCATGCAGGCATTGGGGAAGGGATTAAAGGCACGTGAAAAGGACAGGAAGAACCAGATGAAAAAATGGGGTCAAGGAAGGGTAAGTAATTTATCATTACATAATTGAGCATATGTAAATTACTATTTGTTGCTTTAGCCCCAAATTAAAATTCGTGATGCATCTGTAACAGTAAAGCCTGATTGGGTTACAATTGAAGAAATGGACTTTCCACGGTTGGGAAAATTGTCACTTCCCAGTATAAAAGAAGGTAATAAGTAATGTTATTTAGTTAACAAGCAATAGAATTATTTATTCTTACTTTTTATTTATTTATTATAGGTGATGATATAATGTGTTGTGGTGAACTAGAATACTATGACAAGTCTTATGACCGTGTCAATGTTAAAAATGAGAAACCTCTTCAACGTGTTGATCGTATTTTCCATACTGTAAGTCCTTTTAAATAAAATTTGTTCCATTTTAATCGCATATTAATTACATTTTTAAAGGTAACTACCACTGATGACCCTATCATTCGTGTCTTGAGTAAAAATGAAGGAAATGTTTATGCCACAGATGCCATTTTGGCTACTATTATGTGCAGCACTCGCTCAAATTACTCTTGGGACATAGTCATTGAAAAAATTGGTTCGTTATTACTTTCTTTTCTTTTTTTTTATAATTAATTAATACATTTTCAGGTGATAAATTATTTTTTGATAAGAGAGACAATACAGAATTTGATCTTTTGACGGTCAACGAAACCTCTTTAGAGCCCCCTCAGGATGATGGAAATTCGCTGAACTCGCCTAGAAATTTGGCTCTAGAGGCGACTTTCATCAATCACAATTTCAGCCAGCAGGTTCTCAGGACTGGATCAGGTGAACCCAAGCACAAATTTGATCATCCAAATCCTTTTGTATCTGAAGAGGAGGAGGGTGAAGTTGCTAGTGTTGGATACCGCTACAAGAAGTGGGACCTTGGTGGAGGAATTGTAAGTACATTTAATTTTTCCCAGGTGTTTACTGTATATTTTTTAAATATGATACTAGTACCACAATTTTTGCTTAGTTCTAGTTGCACCTAAAGCTTAATGTAAAAATGTATTATTAATCACCGCTTTTTCAGGTATTGATAGCTAGATGCGAGCATGATGCTGTTGTTCAATCCCCTAACGGTGAGCTGCAGTTCCTCACCATCAAGGCCTTGAACGAGTGGGATTCGAAGGTCGCAAATGGGGTCGAATGGCGTCAGAAGCTAGACACCCAACGTGGTGCTGTTCTAGCCAACGAACTACGCAATAATGCGTGTAAATTGGCCAAATGGACTGTGCAAGCCCTTTTGGCTGGCAGCGATCAGATTAAATTCGGCTACGTCTCACGCGTGAACGTGCGTGATAACACACGTCATGTAATTTTGGGAACGCAACAATTCAAGCCGCATGAATTCGCCGCCCAAATCAATTTAAATATGGACAACGCTTGGGGTATTCTAAGATGCATCATCGACATTGTTATGAAGCAAAAGGATGGAAAGTATTTGATCATGAAGGATCCGAATAAACCGATGATTAGACTTTACGATATCCCAGATAATACTTTCGAATCGGACGGGGAGAGTGAGTCGGATGAAGACGTCCAGACGGATTCCAATGCGTTCCAGACCCTTTATCCGTACACAAACACGACAAAGAGAACTTAATTTGTCTTCATCTGGATAGGAAAAGGTCGGTATTAAAACTATTTTATGATTTATTATATCATAACTTGTTAACATCGGTCGTATCAAGGATAATTAAAATATTTCGTAGGAGTTTTTGTTTTTATTTTTTTTTATCGTCTGATAAGAATCCCGGCGCATAATTAATTACTAATAAATTGGTAAGGGTGATTAATACTTATTACATCATAAAAAGTCTCAAATAAAAGGTATTTAGGTATTTGTTGTCAGGTTTAGATTTTCTTTTGCAGTTATTTGATAACATTGAAAGTTATCATAAGAACATTTAAAGTAGACCATTTTTGCGTTCCACGGAATACTAAGCATTATTAGCTCATCCTGTATATTTAATGCCTAAAATAATTAAAAAAGTATCCCAGAAAACAAGTTTATAAATAGATATACACCGTTTAATTTCCAATTAATACACATAAATATTAACAGTAGTTAAGATAACTTGTAGTACATTATTAGAGACCTGAAGGCATTATTTAAATTATTTTGTTACATAATTAACTAAATATACATGCCATTGAAAAGTTATTGCTTCCTGCATTCTAGAAAAGATATAATTTATTCAAAAACGGTTTACATAACTTTGCACTCTTATGCTGGAACCAGCCCTTGCATATTTATTATATTTCTTTATAACTTATAATTTATACGATAATAAAGAATAACGCCGTAGGTACGGTTTTACATAATAATTACTAACAATAAATCACCGTTTCTTTTATACTTTTGTCCTAGTTTCGAACTCTTTAATAACAAACACAACTTTTTCTATGGCCGCATCCATATCATTTTCGTCGATTTCCCAATAAGACACAAATCGTACAACTTGCGGGTTTCTGCTTCCTGCTTTCACTATCACCTTCACGGAATCCTTCTTTTGAACGGTTGCCAGTCGTACTAGAAAATCTCGCGCAACCAGTTTGTTAGTGTTCAAATGTACTATAAGAATATTTGTCTGGACTGATTTTAAATCCACCTTTACAATGTCCGATTTCAAATCATGAATAGCTGAAAAGAAATACATAATTGTTATAATAAGTAAAAAAAAATGCCTGTACGTTATAGCGCTCGTTTTAATCACCTACGCGTTAAACCGTGTGACCGATCGTCCGGCACTCTTTCTGAATGAACGTAGGATGTCAAGATCTTTAATTCTACCACCACTAACACTACTTCCGAATATTATATATAAAAGAAACAGGAGTGCTGTCAGCACAAGGCAAAGTGGTATTACTTAGTTACTATCAGCAATTTCTTATGCTGAAGTGTACGATGTGTTGCATACCTATTTACAAACAATTCCTTTAAATTTAGTTTTTCAAACAATTTTTAACACAAAGAAAGTGATTAAACAAATTGTTCACTTTCATTCACTCGAAGCAGTGGTGCTAACAGTTTCGAGCTCACAGTGACTGATAGAGGGGAAGAACTTCTTACTATTAAGTATGTAAATAAGAATGGAGTTGTTTTGCATACCTTTTGCCAGTTTGTATATATTTTTGTGGTCTTTTTCCAATCTATTTACCATTTTGTCGAGGGCCACTAAACCAGCAGCAGCGACAATTCCAGCTTGTCTCATGCCACCGCCTAGAGCCTTTCGAGTTCTGCGGGCTCTGAAAAGCAATAAATTAATATTGAGATTTTTTTTTTTCAATTTCAAATCATTGATCACTTACTGTTCAATAAAGCTTTTGGTGCCACATAATACTGAGCCAATAGGGGCCCCAAGACCTTTACTCAGACAAAAGCAAACAGAATCTATATCTTTCGTTATAACTCTGGGAGATACTTTGCTTTGAACAGCAGCATTAAAAATTCTTGCGCCGTCCATATGCAAACGAATATTGTGAGTTTTGGCAATTTTTGAAACTTTTTCAAGCCATTCTAGTGGAAGTACCTACAAGTAGAAAGCGATTAGTTGGATCATTATCTTGGAAAATTAAAAAAAAAAAAACGAAAATTTGTGGTTTTTAATTTTGTTATTTCTTTGGAACAAAAGTGGGACGAATTTGGAGGGTAAAGGCTGAAGAAAATAAATCCCTCGGATCTTTTCTTTCTAATATTTTTCAGTCGTATGAAGATAACGTAAAATCGATATACATTATATTTTGTTTTATTTTCTCTCATCTACCATATTTTCACTACATCAATCAGTAATTAAAATTCTAAATTTTGTGTAACTTAAATTTTGCATAAGTACATTATCCTCGTTTAAGTGAATAAATAAATAAAAAAGATGCTTGCTCATAATATTTTGCAATATTCGTGAGTGTGATGAAATAAATTGGTCTTTTAACTAAATAAACGATTTGTAATTGCCCCTTTCTTCTGTGTACACGCAGATGGCAGATACATATTACGAAATGATGCGATACTCTGTACAGTGCTCGTAATTATTGCAAAATATTGCTACCGAGTAAAATAATACTAACATAAACAGTTTGTGCAATTTTTTAAACGCAATCTAAAATTAAAGAAATGTTATCAAATTTATTGCACCCATGAAAATAGGAAACAGAAAAAAATATTGACCTATGCTGTTAATTTTACAGTTTTAATCCAACTTAACTGCATAGTTTTAAACTTATTATTATAATCGTTACTGACTGAAACAACTTTCAAAGTTATTAACATATCTGTTGAAGTAAATGAAATATTCATTTTTTGTCGGTATGCATTCGTGATATAATTCCTAAAGATAAGTATGGATGTAATTAATATACCATTCTCCGTTTAAAAAGAAAATGTAAAAGTGAAATATTGTATATGTACAATAATATTGTAGCGTATGGATGTTTGTTTCTTTAACATTTAGCTAAGAGACGTGGACATAGCAGTTAAAAATTGTAGAAAAATGGCAGAAGATACGTGAAATGCTATAAAGATTATCGATTTAAATGTATAAGAGCCTAGGATTTTTTAAAATTTCATCCAACTTAAATAATATTTGCAAATTAAATTAACTTGCAATCATTTTCATTTAATCAGAATCTTTAATTAAAAATTATCCATTTTTGTAGTAAGTGGGCGGATCTAAATATCTATCTGAATGCACGGCTGGTTGCATATACGTGCATGTAGTTATGCACCACTAACAGCAATTATCATCGTTTAAATTTGGAATTTATCAAAAAGAAAATATATTTTGATAACGCAACACATCTGTATTGCAAAGTAATTTAAAATACTGACATTAAGTACAATTTTTAGGGGTATTTCATTTAGAAAAGTTTACTTCATCTTTACCCACCTTCCCTCCACACATATTGTGCGTATTTTCAACTACAATAAGCGCTGTTTCGGGTTCATGACAGTCGGGGTTTATTCTAATTTTTGCCTCCAATTCTTTTAGAGAGAAAGTACCGTTACTTTCGTTTTTAATGGTCACTAACTGCACTCCAGCAAATTGAGCGGCACCAGCTAAAATGTAACGTGTATTCAGTCAAACTTGTCGAAATCGAAAATAGACTAATTTTTATGTAACATAAGAAGAAACAAAAAGTATTGCAAATTGGAGATAAAAACAATTTAATTCTTGTAAACATCATCAGCGTTTTACCTTTATTATGTGGCTTCTTCAGGATAGAAATTGATTGCAAACACTATAATTTTATATGAAAATATGGATGAGTTCTATATAAACACCATGAGCCCTGAAGAAGCCTTATAGAATAAACTAAAGGCGAAATGTATTAGTGTTGTTTATGGTAATAAAATACTTTTTTCTCCAATATGACTTTGATTTGTTTAAAAATGTCTTAAAAGAAAGAATAGAAATTGTCTAGAAATAGAATTTCAATTATTTTTCAACTGAAGTAATTTACAAAACTCTACACTAGATAAGAAAAATGTAATCATTGGCGGTATTATTATAATTGTTTGTGTTTATTATCATTTACATACCTTGTTCGTACATAATTACATGGCTATCCTCTCCTACAATAACTTCAGTTCCCCTTCTACTGCAGTGTGTTAGAACTATTAGAAATGATAAAAGAAATTAAAAATAAAGTTCAAACGAATTTATGAATATTATCTACTAGCATAATTTGTTTACTTGAGTATGTGCTTCGTTAGGAAAATTGGAAATTAATATCCATGTTACGTAATAATAAAGGAAGTGCTTGTGTTAATTTTAATTAGTTAGCCTTCTAAAAGTTAAACGAAAATTACATTAATGTTTTAAACATATCTCTTCTCTGATAAACATTTAAAGCTATACGAGATATAGAATATGTGTTGCAATATCTCAAAAAATAAGTAAGACGTGTTTATTATCATATTTGCGGTATGAGAAATGCAATAAATAAATATAATAAAATAACTAACGTGCAAGAAGATTAGCCATGGTTCCAGATGGTACAAAAAGCGCATCCTCTTTTCCCAACAAATCAGCCGATGTTTCTTCTAATAATCTCACGGTAGGGTCTTCCCCAAAGACATCATCCCCTACTTCAGCAATTGCCATTGCATCCCTCATCTCTTTGGTAGGCTTGCTTACTGTATCGCTTCTTAAATCGACAACGTGAATTCCTTTGATACCATTCGAAAAACCGTTCACAACTTCGTACGGCATTTTTTTATAATAATTATGATTTAAAGTTAAAATAAAGAAATTGCGATTATTAAAGTTGCACTTCACCGTTAACAACTGCTTTTGAACTAACTGTCCGACGATATAAGACGTACTAATGCACCGGTTGATGTATAAATACATTTTATAGGAGTGGTGAAGGAGCTTTACCGACTTAATATTTTTATGTTATTAAGTACTAATATTACTGTTGTTGTTATAATATTACTTGTTTTGATATGCGTATGTATTGCCTTTCCAACAATTATATCAGCGTCATGCCATTGCGAAAAGGATTTTTCTACAAGAAATAAAATAGTTTGTACAATACGGAATAGTTCTAGTGATAACTGATAACGTTTCACTTTTTTAGTTAAAACTTAGTTCATAAATATACTATATGTGATCACATATCCGGGATTGTTTACATTCATGCATAGAACGAGTCTTTTAATAAATGTTTAATAAGTATGTTGCAACAGCCGAAAAGGATAATTAATCAAATGATCTAAACTGTTATTCAAGTTGGAAATTTTCTATGTAAACTTCGTTTTCCTGGGATACTATCGTTTGAACTCCAACTCTTCTGCATTAATTTTTCCTTCCTAAGTTGTTGAACTATGATTATTTTGTAGAAAAAATAAAATGCTGTTTAATCTACCATATTGGAACATCAATAGAATCGATTTTCGCTGCAAATATTGCAGCCACAGTATAAGACTATATATGTAACCATTTTCATGAATAAGATTAAAAGAAGATAATTTGCTGTGAGTTTTTGAGTTAATCAATGAAAATTAATTTTTGCGTCATCAAGGAATAATTAACAATGCATTCAATATAATAAGTACATGGAAAATTTATAAAATTCAATTGTACAGTTATTAAACGACATTTAAATAAATTGTTAATGAAACGGAGGTGTTTAAAAACTACTGCAAAAATACTTCAAAATCATCGATTTGGACATTTACTTATATATTTAGGAATGATTAAATTATTATGATAAACTGGAAGTTTAAAAAATGTTTTTAAATCTTGTACCTAATAAACAAAGTGTCACAGATAATTTATATTGTTCAGATAACAAGAGTTATCCATTATTTTAAAATAATGATTTAGTAATTACAGATTGTTTGTTATTAAATTTAAGCGATTGTTTCGTCAGCAGCTAACGATTGGGTATACAGGGTGTTCAGAACAGTACCAAAAAGCAAAGAAATATTAATATTCCATATAAAATATAAAATTAGAAAGAGGAGACTGTGGTAAATATTAATTAAAAATTAAAAGGAATACTCACCCCTAATTACCACAAATAATTTTACTATCTCAGTCTCGCGTTGATAATGCCCACGTATGAAGATGGCGAAACACGTGTCCGCTCAATTAAAATTATTTGTGGTAATTAGGGGGTGAGTATTCCTTTTAATTTTTAATGAAGTATAATAAAGATTTGTACATTAAGAACCTATATACATAGATGGATTTTTAATGAAAATTATGTAAGAAACAAAACCACGTCTTCATCAGATACAGACAGATTCCGCGATCTTTTATGTTGCAGTTCCCAATACATTCATAACTTTCTAATTGGAAAATTCCAATCATTAAAATAAAATAAACAGTTGAACTTTTACATTAACAAATATTCGATCATATACCTGAAATAAAGCCAATATATCTGTTATTATCTGTACACATAAGAAGTATTATTTACTTATTATGTACTACATAAAGGTGAAAGGGTTGAAAACGAGTGCGGAACGACTGGTCACACGGCTCACACCGCCATAAAGGTGCATATATTTCCGTAAAAAAGTTCGAATTCTTCAAAATGACTGTTTCGATGATATTAAATAATTGTAGAAATGTCCTCATGACGTATTGAGCAAAATCATTGACCGAAATTCCCTTTGTGAGGTGTCAGAACCTCTAGTTTTTATTAATTTTTTAAATGCAAAACGTTATATTTAATTATCAAAAAACATACAATTAATAAAATCTATTTATTAATACTATTTCGACTTAGAATGTCTACAGTATATTATTTCCATCCTTAACAGCTAACAGTTAATAAGTTTACTACAAACATCATGGAAATTCTATAAAATGTAATACAAATTTTCTGAAAAATATAAACAACTTAAATATCACATTCATTGGAATGTTTATCCCATGATATTTCCCATCTGTTTTTTCTATACAGTTTATTAATAATTACATTTCTACTCTTTTCTGGTAAGCCTCCCACAACAAATTCCTGTACTTTTCTGCGGCTTGAGCCCTATCTGTTGCCTCGGTGATACCTCTCCCCACCACAGCTATGTCAGCCCCCCTTTCTAGAATCACATTTTCAGGAGAACTGTATTGCTGTCCCAAACTGTCTCCTATGGAATTCAATTTCACTCCAGGGGTAAGCTGGAGGAATCCTGGTTTATCCAGAAACAAAGGACTTTGACATACGATACCAGTTATCAAATGTGAAAATCCTTCTGCCATTTCCAATGCAGCCTTGGTATACGAACTGCTAATTAAATTATCTTTGGTACTGATTTCTGTCAATAAAAACACTCCCAAGTCTTCCGAGTTCTGTTTTACAGCTTGGAGAGCCCCCGGTCCTATTATTGCATGTTGTGTTATTAATTTGGCCCATGATGATATCTTAAAAACCCCTTTTGTGTATTGCAATTGTACAACTTTCCCTATATCTGCAAATTTTCGATCTTCAAGCAACAAAAAGTTATGTCTTTGAGATATATCTTTTAGATGTTTTGTCAAATTTTCATTGAAGTCCTCTATAATATCAATATGCGTTTTTAGAATGCAAATATATGGCCCAACTTCTTCAGCCAAGTTCAGAAGCTCTGTTCCAGTCAGAACATCAGCTGCTAAACACAAATTGGACTGTTTTTCAGAGATTATTTTTAAAAGCCGTTTAGCCACTGGGTTTTTTGTGAATGGAATTCGGTCAGTATACTGCAGTTTCAGCCTACCTACAAACAGAATATCTCTTTTATTGTCTCATTAAAGGCATTCACACAAATTAAATAGGTAAAAAAGAAAAATAAGTGCGTACTTTGGATTTCTTTATCTTCAACTTGATTGCTTTTTATATACTCTTGTACCTTTGTTACTGTTACATCATCAACACATCCCTCTTCCTTCAAAAAGCTTATTAATGTAGTCAGTGTTAACAGTGCATGCATTTTTATTCCAGATTTTTTCAAAAGATTTTCACCACCTTGTTCTCGATTTAACAAAACAATTGTCTCTGAACATTCTAATCCTGCCTCTCTCAAGTCCTTGACAGTTTCTAAAATACTGCTTCCAGATGTAACAACGTCTTCAACAATAAGACACTTGTCACCAGTATTAAAGTGGCCTTCTATAAGCTTTTTAGTTCCATGATATTTTTTCTCTTGACGTCTCATAACCATTGGAATTCCAGTTTTCACTGAAACCACAGTGGCAATAGGTAAGGCTGTGTAAGGCACACCACACAAAGAGTCATGAGACTTTAGATTTGGTAAATTATCTGCTATTAAGTTGGCTAAAAAATCCTTTACAAGGCATGGTTATTTTATGTTTCACAAAATAACTGCTTGTCTTACCAAAAGCTTAGGATAGCTGATAAGAACCCTTAAATCGCAATAAACAGGTGTCATCAATCCCACTTTCGTTTTATATTCGCCAAATTTGATACCATCAATTTTAAAAAGGTCAACAGCAAATTTCTTTAGTCTACTTTGATAGTCCATTATTTAATTTGTTACTTAAAATTGAATTGTTTATCTTTCAAATGTTAATTAACTTAAAGACCGGCAGCTAATTTTACTGATTAAATTTTTTAAAACACTGAAAAAAATAGAAAAATAAAAATAAACGGCTTCAATCTTGTTTGAACCACACGTTTATAACCTAATTCATTCAAATATATAAAAAAAACAAAAACCATAAAGAACATGTCAAAATCCATAGATTACAAACATAGATAAATAAAAACACAGGTGCAATCGGTATACTGATCAGATGGATAAAATTGTGATCAATTTATTGTTCGTAATTTATTTGAGGAAGTCTAATTAAGAGAAAAACTAATTAAATACAAGCAATTAAAATAAAAGTTTATATAAAGATACATTTCATTATAAATAATTAGTCATACGCCTTTTCTTGTTTCTATCAAATAAAATGAATCGTAAGTGATTTGTCATCAGTCTTATCAGTCAGAAGCGAAAAACATCTGTAATAACATCATTTTTGACGTATCCTAAGTAAAAATTTCAATAACTAATTGAAATTTGTTGAATAAATGTGACCGTAATAATAAAAATCCCAAAAAAGATGACTCAGAACAGGTACAAATAAAACTTTCATTTTCAGGACAACAAATTCAACATCATGATTGATATGGTTAGAAATAATTTACTTTGTTATTTTAGGAAAAGAGGAAGAAACATTCATGAAGAAGAAATGGAGTTTATGCCACTGTCGAAACGTATTAACAATCTTCATATTAACGGATCTTTACTAGTCAATAGTGATTTACATATTAATTTATTAGAAAATAACCAGTGGGGTCCAGGGCCCCCATGCATTGATGCATCCTTGCAGAGAGCTAGTGTAATTAATGAAAATTTGCATAATTCTGAACTTAGCAGGATACCCTGTTATAGTCCAGAATTAAATGAGATAGAAAATCCTCATTATTTTAATGTTAATAAGCTTCTTTTTGAAATGTACATTGAACGTTCACAACGCAATGGGCAAAGTTTTGAAATATGATTATGATTACCTTTTATGCATTTCATGAATCTTTAAAACATTATTTTTAATGTAACATTGATCTATATACTGAGAAAATATGTTAAAAATCACTATACAATGCATTTTGCTATTCATGTATATTGCTAATAATTAGGTAATTATAATGGATTTATATTTGGTTGAAATTGTTTATTTGAACTGCATTCATTCCAGTAACTAATTAATGACAGTTTTAGTTGTACACCACTAAAATAAATAAAGAGTATTGTATGATAAATCTGTCCTTTATTTTAATTTTAAATAAGTAATTCAAACAAATCTAATGATTTTAATTTTTATTTATTATTTTAATTGACAGAACGGATAATTAGGAAATTTAATAATAATTGTTTTATTTAAATAAAAGTAAGGTAATAATTAAATTTAGCGCCACTATTGACTAATATATTTCATATTGTTCGAACGTCACACATGCCATCTATGAATAACAAACAATAACTCCAGATGGAAGTTTTAGTAAATGAACAACACCATTATTTTTCTATGAACGGAACTGAGCGTCGTTGCTTGCGTACGGCAGTTGTTGATGACGAATGCAGTTATCCTGCGAAGAAACCGTTATCGTCGTATCTTCGCCAGATTACCAAAGGTAAGCGAGTCTTATTCCGTAATTTTTAACGTTTTCGTACTGATAAGGGCCGTTCGCGAGTGCATCAAATGTTTTCTCGCATCTTTTCGCGGGTTGCGGGTGTTTTAGGGTAGGGAGCTTCGTCGCCGTGATGTAGAATTTGTGGAAGGGGTGTTCATAGTGTATTCTGGTAGGATATATTCATCCCCACATTCTTCCTAAACCACCACCACCTTCCTCCACCACGTTAGGCATCGTCATCGTCATAGATACGCCTTCCTATGTGCATTTCAGTGCATCAGCATAACATACACGACATTTCATACGGATATTAAATTAGTTCAAGGTCATTAACCTGATAACCAATTAACTGCATCATTGTGTGATCATACACCACAACAGGCATACAACACGATGTTCATTTGTAAAGTATTCTGTTTTCCCTTTGCACGTCTCATGTCGACTTCTTTGTGGTTAAAATAATACCTATGAGTTTGTATATTTCTCTTTTTTTTTTGTAAATCGATCAGCAGACAGGTGTAACAAGCGATCAAATTTCAAGGACAAGCAAATTGTCGACAAATTTAAATTCAATTATTACAAACGTATACGCTAAAGTCAAATGTTTTCGATTAATTTCTTTCAACATTAGCGTTGNTTTACAACTTTTGGGCATAAAATCTTAATTAATTGGAATATTTTTTTACATTTGAGTGGGACTCTTTAAAGAAAACGAAAAGCTGAAACTGCCTCTACCGTACCCTCTCAAACCGCCCTCTCTCCTACTACAAAAGCAACCTAATTTTTTTAATATTTCGTTTATTAAAACAAAAAATGATATCATTTAGTAAGATAAATTGTAAAAAAATATTTTATTTCTATTTTATCGTTAAAAATATTTCTAGAGGTTTTTAGTCATTTTATTGATATACAGGGTGTGCACTATTCATGAAATTATTTCTTACGAATAGAACAGAAGAAAACAATAAATAAAATTGTACATGAATGTAACTGACTGATTAGGTGCCGTCCATAAATTACGTAATGCAAAATTACCAATTTTTGACTCCCTCTTCTTCCTCCACGTAACGAGACCGTAACTCGTGGCCTGTGCTCTCCTTCCCATCCCCGGTCTGTTACGCAACGCGTACATTGTAAATATTTTAGGCGTCATTTAAAAAAAGGTTTTTAATTTTCAATAATAATTCAATTTTAAATAAGTTAAATCTGGTCCCCCCCTTTCCGGTGTAACAAGCGATCAAATTTCAAGGACAAGCAAATTGTCGACAAATTTAAATTCAATTATTGTAAGAATAACAAAATACAAACGTATACGCTAAAGTCAAATGTTTTCGATTAATTTCTTTCAACATTAGCGTTGTTAATTACATAGGTATCTAACGATTTAACATGCATACGTTGCTTTTTCCAGTACGCCGAGAGTACCTGTTACATATATATAGAATCACTCACGCATTCAACACGAATAATTTTACCATTGATGCGGCCTACGCTAGCTTATTTCGCACATATGAATAATGGTACGCACAAATGTGTACGTAATAAAGAAATGTATGTAATACGTGAATATACCTTATACAATTTGAATAGGAAATTAAGCGAAACATCCTAAAAAAACTACTCGTTGAGGTTTGGAGATGATTCATTTATTTAACTGAAAATACATTCAAATTAATAACATCTTAGTAGAAATCTTTAAAAATTCTATACACATACGGTTATTCTTTAAAATATTGTCATACATATATTAAATTGTACATTACACAATAAAAAAAGAAGAACGTCGTCTCAAGCGTCATCTACCGTATTTCGCATGCAACATGTTGGTGAAGTGCTACCAAATTGCAGTAGGTGGCGCCGAAATAACGTGGAATTTGTGTCTGTTTCAAAATCTTTTGTTTTAATAGTAGACGTGAATATTATTAAGTACCTAATGACTTAAACAATGAAGGCAAGTTATTGAAACTTGAACACTTACAAGTCTGATGTACTTAATTAGTGATTACCAATTGTATTATTACCCTTAAATGGTACTACCTCTTATTGTCTTCTAATTAACATACTTGAGTTACATGCCACCTTTTCACTTTCATTTTTTTTGTAATTTTAATTAAGTACGTCTAAAAATACTTTATTGAAAATAAAAGATTCTCTTTTTATTTATAAAAAAATACAATTCAAATGAGAAAAAATTAGGGAATGGAGTACCTAAATTTCTAAAAAAAACTAAACTTGCCATTAGTTTAAATTTTCGTGTCTGAGAAAGTACGAATTTGTCCGTGTACGAACGGCGAATAAAATTCTATTCAAGCAAAACAACAGTACCTTATAAACTGTAGGTGAAAGTGTATTCTCGAGGTGTATCCAATGCTACAAGTAGGTAACTGGGTTGCTTAAGAGAGCTCCCATGCCGTTAGAAATCCGCCTGTTCCGTCTCCGTCTATTCCGCGTTCTTTAACGACCTGTTGGACGAAGACAGTACAGGTGGTCGTCGTGTATGTTTTGTCACGTGATCGCGTTTTCTAAAACCTGAGGGCCCCACTTTCAAATTTCTCATGTTGTTGCTACTACTACTACCGTAAATCGGGGTACACACTCTACCTAACCTACCACTTCTGTAACGCGAATTTTACCACCGTACCGTACCGTCGCCCCCTCTAAGTTTTCGGGGGTAGTCCCAAGGACACGCACAAGTTGTGTAGGGCCGAAAAGTGCGCCAATTTTGAATACGGGACGCGATCCGGGCAATGCGGACTTTTATCGACGAAAAAATAATGTAGTACCAATTAAACAACAAGTGCCGTTTTTCGTTTATTTTATTTTATTATTTTTTTGTTTTATGCATTGTGGTGAGTTTGTTTCTTTTCTTTGTTGCACTTTCGACTGTTTTATATATTGCAAAACAATGTTACATTTCGCATTTATTATTATTATGGGTATGTCGTTTGTGCAATATGTGGTTAATTATTTTGGCAATTTGGCACTGTAATAATGACGTAGACTATTGGTTAAGGAATAATTAGAGGCAAGAAGAAAGAAAAATTGATGTGTACATAAGTAAAATTGCTTTGCAAACTTTCAAATTTAATACATACATAAATGCATGTACTTGTGCATTATTTAGTTGTAGAATGGTCCTTGAAATAGTTTATATATTCTTCAGTCGGTGTTCGTAATGTGTTTTGTGTGTTTGTATTGAGATTTATTATCTCATGACGATGACGTGATTTAGTAATATCATTGAAAATTAAGAAATTCGTAAAAAATGGGCTCATGACGCGATGTCTTTTAAAACTATAAATTGTTTGTATATATATTTCTTTCCTTCTAAAGTCGGTAAATAATTTTAAGTTTTTCTACCTAGGTACCATAAAACGTACCTGTTGTAAAAGTTATATGACAGCCTATTTTGCCGAAAATGCCCAACTTTAATTCCACAAACCATTTTCAAGTAATAACACCCTAGCTACCTACCCTCTTGATCCTTTTTTGGATGCGTATTTTTTGAAAGGTCTCAGAATAGAAAGAAAGTTTTTTTTTTAACCTACAAAGACAATTTAGAAACATGTTTTCAAATAGATTTGATCGTTGTAGATAGTTTTATTATTAATTATTTTGTTTATTATTACATGTTAATATATTTTATGTGGGAAGCAAAGATAGGTATCTTGCTGTACCTCAATTTTTGAAAAAAAAAGTGAAACTGAACAATTTCTACTTTCGAGTACTTAATTGGCCAGTTTATTTCACTTTTATTTTAATAGATCTATGAAAAAATGAACTACAACCCGTTCAGTGTCGGAGTTCCGTTGTCGGCGGCACTTCCGGTCGCCACCCAGTTCACGGCGGGCGGAAAGATCACGCAAAACGTGACAACGACCAACGGCCAGGTGGTCGGTGTGCTACAGGGTGGCGAAAATGGTGTCCACTATATCCGACCGCTTGACGCGAACGCGTTCGCAGCCGCCACCGCCTCCACCTCGCCCACCCAGAACAATTCCTCCCAGCAGGCCCAGACCTTGATCACGTTGCCCATCACAATGCCTGGAGCGAAACCGGGCGACCCTCAACAGACTGTCCAGATCCAGGTGGTCAATCCGACGCCTGTGTCCGTCGCACAGACCAGTCAGGCACAGTCTCCCAAGTACCAGATATCCCAGATACCCATTCAGGCCTTCGGACAGGGTGCCACAGTACTAACAGTCGCCTACAACCCCACCCAGGACGGAATACAGATCGTAAGTATCATCATAAGGTCGTCAGTCCTAAGACTGGTTGGACACGCACCTCAACTCTTTCCTATCCTGAGCTAATCTTCGCATTTCCTTAAAACTAGAACATCTCACATCCTTAACTATTTGCGAACAGTAATCTAATCTAGGTCTACCTCTACCCCTCCTAACTCGTGTTTCTGCCTCTAATATGTCTCTGACTAGACCTTCATGCCTAAGAAGGTGTCCTACCAATCTATCTCGCCTATTTTTTATTGACTTCCATAGAGTCCTCTGTTCTCCTATTCTTTCCAATATCTCTTCATTTATAACCTTCTCTATCCACGATATCCTCATCATCCGCCTATAACACCACATTTCGAATGCTTCTAACCTTTTGTTTTCCGCCGCTCCCACTGTCCATGTTTCGCACCCGTACAACGCCGTGCTCCAAACATACACCTTTAACAACCTTTTTCGAATTTCTAAATTAACCTTTCGCGAGCATAGAAGTGACTTCTTTTTATTAAAGGCGACACGACCCTGCGCTATCCTGTGCTTTATATCCCTACTACTCCTTCCATCCTCACTTATCTGACTTCCTAGATACCTAAAATCAGCCACTTCTTCTAATTTTTCGTCTCCTATCTTTATATTCGCTCTTTCCCTACTTTTTCTTCCCTTGCATACCAGTATTTTAGTTTTACTTTTATTTATTCCTCTGTTCTCCTATTCTTTCTAATACCTCTTCATTTCTAACCTTCTCTATCCACGGTATCCTTATCATTCGCCTGTAACGCCACATTTCAAACGCTTCTAACCATTTCTTTTCATGTTTCGCACCCGTACAACGCCACGCTCCAAACATACACCTTTAACAGGCTTTTTCGAATTCGTAAATTAATCGTCCGCGAACATAGAAGTGACTTCTATTTATTGAAAACGACTCGACCCTGCGCTATCCTCTGCTTTATATCCCTACTACTCCTTCCATCCTGACTTATCTGACTTCTTAGATACTTAAAATCAGCCACTTCTTCTAATATTTCGTCTCCTACCTTTATATTCGCTCTTTTCCTCCTTTATATCTTCCCTTGCATACTTTTATTTATCGCTACTAATTATTTAATTTAAAGGTGGATGGTCAAAATGGCATCCCGGAAGGTATGACAGTGGTGGCGGCTCTGCAGCCCCAAGACATCCAGTTGATCCAGACGACGGCACCTCAATCGGACCAAGACCAGGATAAACTCAAAGAGGGCACTGCAACGATCACCCCCGTTGCCCTAATTAAAAACGAGGTGTTGTCAGCAAAAGACGACGGTCAGACGGACGGGGGCGGCGCCTCTATAACCGCCATACCGGCCAACTACCTTCAGAACACCGCCGTGCAAGAATACCTCCAACGTATCCAAAACACCACCCTACCGCTCAGTCTTCAGCAATTCCTCAAGTTCAACACTGATACAACGGTCAAGAGGGAACAGATAAACGAAGATGGGATCATAGAGACCGTTGTAGAGACGGGAGAGCCCGAACAGGAACCTCTCATAATGAACGAACTCGAGGGCGAAATGGAAGAGAACGTGGACGACCCAGACAAGACGAAAAAGAAGAAAAAGTACAAGAAGAAACCACCGAAACCGAAAAAACCCAAACCTGGTCAGGTTCATATAGCCACAGCCCTCGACGGAACCACCCTCTTCTGTTGTCCGGAATGTCACATGGCGTATCCCGAAAAAGAACTTCTGGAGCAGCATCTTGTAGGACACAAAATCGAACGTCGATTCATATGTGACATATGCGGGGCAGGACTGAAAAGGAAAGAGCATTTGGAAAGACACAAGCTCGGCCACAACCCCGAAAGACCATTCGTGTGTTCCGTTTGTATGAAGGGTTTCAAGAGGAAAGAACATCTCAATCTTCATTTCGTCATTCATTCGGGCGAGAAGACGGAAATATGCGGGGAATGTGGCAAGGGATTTTACAGGAAGGACCATTTGAGGAAGCATGCGAGGTCGCATATCACAAGGAGAGCAAAGGAACAACAGCAACAGCAAAATTTGCTTGCCAGCAAAGAGGGAACAGTCACAATACAGGTTCGTTATTTACATTAATTTTTAAGGGCTCATTACGTATCATATTGGAGCATAAACATACTAATGAGATGTTTACTTTTTGTAAAATCAGGGAAATTCTGTAGACTTCAACTTAGTAAGTGGAAATGAGGGATTATAACTTTAATATGATATCATCATCATCATAAGGTCATCGGTCCTAAGACTAGTTGGACACGTACCTCCACTCTTTCCTATCCTGAGCATATCTTCGCTTTTTCCCTAAAACTAGAACAGCCCACATCCTTAACTATTTGCAAACAGTAATTTAATCTAGGTCTACCTCTACCCCTCCTAACTCCTGCTTCTGCCTCTAATATATCTCTGACTAGACCTTCATGCCTGAGGTGTCCTACCAACCTATCTCGCCTATTTTTTATTGACTTCCATAGAGTCCTCTGTTCTCCTATTGTTTCTAATACCTCTTCATTTCTAACCTATTCTACCCACGATATCCTCATCATCCGCCTATAACACCACATTTCGAACGCTTCTAACCTTTTGTTTTCCGCCGTTCCCACTGTCCATGTTTCGCACCCGTACAATGCCGTGCTCCAAACATACACCTTTAACAACCTTTTTCGAATTTCTAAATTAACCGAGCATAGAAGTGACTTCTTTTTATTAAAGGCGACACGACCTTGCGCTATCCTCTGCTTTATATCCCTACTACTCCTTCCATCCTCACTTATCTGACTTCCTAGGTATCTAAAATCAGCCACTTCTTCTAATTTTTCGTCTCCTATCTTTATATTCGCTCTTTCCCTACTTTTTCTTCCCTTGCATATCAGTATTTTAGTTTTACTTTTATTTATTTTCATACAGTACTGATCTGTCAGTACCGCTTCCATTTTATTTAAAGCTATCTCTAGGTCCTCCTTGCTAGATGCTAATACTGCTATATCATCTGCAAATCTAAGCATACTAATCTTTTGCCCTTGCACATCTATCCCTACAGTTGTACTGTCTTTAATGATGTTGATGGCGTCTTCGATGTATAGATTAAAAAGTAGCGGTGACAGTGTGCATCCCTGCCTGACTCCCTTCCTAATATTTACTTCTCTACGTTGCATCCCCAGCTCTATAACTGCCTGTTGCTCTTTATACAAACTAAGTATCACTCTTCTATCTTTGTAATTCATCCCTACATTTTTAAGTATATTTAACATCTTGTCCCATTTAACATTGTCAAAAGCTTTCTCTAAATCTACAAATCCTATGTACGCACTCTTTCCTTTTTCTATCGTTTTCTCTATTGCTACCCGTAAAGCTAGAATGGCCTCCCGCGTTCCTCTATTTCTTCTAAACCCAAATTGATCTTCCCCTAATAGTTCTTCCGCCCTTTTTTCCATCCTCCTCTGTACAATTCTAATTAAGATTTTTGACGCATGGGAAGTTAAGCTAATTGTTCGAAATTTCTCGCACCTATCCGCGCCCCTCTTCTTAGGTAATGTTACTACTACGTTCCGTTTATAATCCTCTGGGACTTTCCCCGTTTCGTAAATGTGACTAACTAACTTAAACATACGATCTCTAACCTCTTGTCCTGCATGTTTTAGAATTTAGAATATGATATAGTCTTGCAAAAAATCATTACCATCCTTTGGCTCATTGTTTTATGTGATAAGAAGAACCACCTTCCACTTTAATTTTCACACATTTCTTAAATGAAACACGTTGAAGATACGATACAATGTTAAAACCACCGATGGTTTTAGATACACTAGATTTGTGAGCTTTTAGGAGACAAAGCAATATGTGGGGAAGCGCTTAGCATGGTGTAAATGTAGCATGATATGTTGCATTCCACTTGCAGTATTTTCAGGGTAGTCAGATCGTTATTCGTGCTGTCAAACGATGAAAGGGTTGCTTAGGACTATTCTCAATACCCAAACTGTTATCGTTCAATGAAAATTATTAATTAAAAGCCACTAATTCGAGGTGGAACTGAACAGTTGCAAATATGCGAGTGGGTTTAAATGTTTGTATTCTAGTGTATAGTTGGTTGCATACATATGTATTCTAATAACGTGTTATAACGGTACTCACCGTCCGAATTTGGATGCCATGCTCAACTAGTGAATAATGACATTTTTCCCATGCAGGTACCCACGTCGAACATTCAGATCCCAGTTCAAATTCAGGTTCCTCAGCACCACATCCAGGTGACTGCGTCAACGGACGAAGACAATGCTCAACACGTGAGTACTGTAGTGTTGCCAGCTGTGTCCGAGAGCGTGTCGATATTGCCCCATTAAAAAGTTGTTTCCTTCTGTTTTCCTTTCTCTCCCATTGTTTTTTGAACCGTTCAATTAACAGAAATTCTTCCTTTTTTCTTTACGTCAGTCTCCCCCCCCCATCACATTTTCTGTCGGTCGTTGAAAAAAGAAAATAAAATGAAGAAAGACAATCTGAAATGATAATTTAGTCTAATCGGTTAGTGTTTTGGATAGAATTTTATTAATCCTACGGACTACTACGATAAACAATAATATACATAATAGTAATAATTATTTTTAGAAATTATTTTGTTGTCTATTGCTTGCATAACGTGCATATTATATTTACATTTATACATTTTTCTTTAGGTGTACATTTTTTTTTTCATTCGCTAATCTTAATTAGTTTTCCTTTTTTGGTCGTAGTGATAATAATCAGCGGAATAACAAATACAAATGTGCATCTTTATTTTCCGCAAATTTTTTTGGAAATGGTTAGAGTATTCCTCTCTTTTTTTTTGTTCTTCTTTTTCGTCCTTCCAGAGTCAGTGGTGAACATATTGTGTATTCTTATTGCTATTATTCTCCCTATTATATATATTTATATTATAATACATTCAAATTAATAACATCNATATTATGCATTAATCTGTTAAGATATTTATATTAAATATATTGTTATGACATGATTATATACATAAAACGATGTGCATGTATATAGTTTACATTGAAGAGGGACTCTTTAAAGAAAACGAAAAGCTGAAACTGCCTCTACCGTACCCTCTCAAACCGCCCTCTCTCCTACTACAAAAGCAACCTAATTTTTTTAATATTTCGTTTATTAAAACAAAAAATGATATCATTTAGTAAGATAAATTGTAAAAAAATATTTTATTTCTATTTTATCGTTAAAAATATTTCTAGAGGTTTTTAGTCATTTTATTGATATACAGGGTGTGCACTATTCATGAAATTATTTCTTACGAATAGAACAGAAGAAAACAATAAATAAAATTGTACATGAATGTAACTGACTGATTAGGTGCCGTCCATAAATTACGTAATGCAAAATTACCAATTTTTGACTCCCTCTTCTTCCTCCACGTAACGAGACCGTAACTCGTGGCCTGTGCTCTCCTTCCCATCCCCGGTCTGTTACGCAACGCGTACATTGTAAATATTTTAGGCGTCATTTAAAAAAAGGTTTTTAATTTTCAATAATAATTCAATTTTAAATAAGTTAAATCTGGTCCCCCCCTTTCCACCCAATTGGCTTTACGTAATTTGTGGACAGTCCCTAGAGTTACAATAGTGGAATTACTTAAAAATATTCTGCCCCTTGCAAAATTCGAACATTCTAACATTTCTTCTGTAGTTCGATGTTAAAGGAGAGAACATTTTAAGCTGTCGGGTTTTCCTACTGAATGATATATCATTATTTGTACTTATTGAATTATTAATTTGTACTATGACCTTTTGTTTCTGCGGTACAAGAAGTAAAGAATATAATGCTATTTGTAAATTATTAATATCGGCAGTTATATTATTCAAAATTAATGTGTACCTGAAATAATAAAAAAAGGAGGTAATGTTCTCTCAAACGGATTTTCTTCTTTCTAATTTTTATAAGTATGTAAGCAACTGGTATGTTTTGTAAATATGTATTTTTTTTAATTTATTTTAATTTTTGTTGACTACGATGGTAATCATAAATAGCCAGCTGTATTCTCGTTATATTCTGTACTTCCCCTCCTGCCCCTTCCCTTATCTATACAATTTCTTTTCGAAAGGGTTTGTGTTATTTAAGTTTTGACAATGCGAAGTTAACATAGTTGTAAGTTTCATTTTTTTGTGCAGGTTTTTAGGTAAATTATTATTTTTTTCTATCATGAATATATCTAATCGTAAGTAACAATAGTAAGAAGTATTGCGGTCAGTCAAGTAGTTTCATTTTTGTATACTGAATTTCCGTTCTGTTAACGCACGAGAAAAAAATATATTTTATACAAAAAGAACGTCTTTTATTCCACAACATCCTTTATGTAATTTTATATACCTAATTATTTGCAAGTTGTCTTTTATAGTGAATAAGGTTTTTGCTAAGTTACTAGAAAACAACTGTTGGAACAAAAATCAAATTTGCACGTATTTGTTGTACACCCTGTATTTAGGAGATGCTGTGCTATTTTTATCTGTAATGAATATTTGTACATGGTAGTGACCACAGTCCGCAGCTCCAATTAAAACAAAGATAGTTTGATTGTGAAAATATCGTACAAACAGGGCAAATGTATAATTTTGTCTAAGATGTTTGGGACTGAATTTCTAATATTACTTCAGAATGAACATGTTTTGATAGTTTAGTTTTAGCGGCACAACAGCCACAATCAATTATTAATATTCATCTGTAGTAACTACTAAGTCCGACTAAATACTCTATGGATCAGATGATTTAAGTTAACTGAATTGATTGGCTGGTGTGACTTCAAACGTCACGTCGAATGTCAAATAAGCACCAATCAAAATTAAAATTTGAGAAAGTAAAATGGCGTACTGATTGTAGTAATAGTGGTGTTAGTGTAATTACTTTTATCTTTTTATCGTGTTTTTAGAGTTATAATAAGAATTTCTTAGGTTGTATGAAGGGCATACGTTTCCAAACTTAGTTAGTGTTCCTAAACCTAAACAATTTCCATTTGAAATCAATTTTTTCGTGAAAATCTTTTATCAGTTGTCAATCTGTGACGCGCATGACCTCTTCCAGCAACATGGAATGTGTCAAATATGAAACATGCCTTTATTTGACTTTTAGTAGCGGTAGAAGGTCGGTGTTGTCATTATGCCGGGAGAAAATTTAGAAAAGAACGGGAGTTTTAAATTAAAACTTTTAAATATGGAGCCAGGAATAAGAGCAAACAGTTCTAACCAACAATTGGTGACCCCTTCTGAAGCCAATACAGAACGAAGACTGAAAGATCTCACCGCGAAAGAAGTTATTTCTGTGTTTATATTATGTTTTGTAAACTTGATAAATTATATGGACCGATACACTCTAGCCGGTAAGTAACTTTGTTGAGGAAACTTGCTATTTTTTATGTCCATTTAAATTTGTATGGCGTAAATCTAATTCCCCATCTTATTCTCAGTAATGAGTTCCGGTTAGAAAAAAAAAACTCTCCCTTAATGTTTGCTGCGAACACTGAAAAAGTCGCCAACTATTTAAAGACCTTATACATAGGTGTGCATTATCTATAAATAGAAAATTGCAGTCATTTTAAAATACCTACCTTCCGATAAGGTAATTAAAAATTGAATGTTTTAAACTTTTACTTTTAAATATTAATTAAGTAATTACATATGTATGCATGTGTGAAAAATGAGGACTTATTTTTTCTTGATAGATTTTGTTAATGTTTAAAGACATCATCATTATAGGGTCGTCAATCTAAATACCTACAATTGTTTATAAACTTTCAAATATGTTTCTGTTTATTGGATAAGACTCTTGTCTTACGTTTGGTATTTAAAACTTGTTATTAACTAACAGTATAATCTGAGTACTGCTTGCATTAACCTTTGATCGTATTATGTTTCGGTAATCATTTTGAAATGCAAAACAAAATTTTATTTCAATTTTTTTATATAAAACATCCATTGTTTAAAACATACGAAATCCTTATTATGCATATTTATCGAAGAATTTGTACCTATTTTTCTACAATATCACTCCCTGGCACATATGTAGGTGATTAAACCTCTTACGTTTTTTCCGTAAATAATTATTTAAATTAACTTTAATTACAGTAATTATCATATGTACAGGGTGTCAATTAAGCCTGTTTAGTGTTAGGAGTTTGAACCTGATAAATGGAAAATAGGAAGAAACATGGTGCTTAAAACTCTCTTTAGAGAACAGTTTTATTTTGGATTGTCTCACGATAATAATGTTACATTTTTAACAAGAAAATCTATTCCAAGAATTCAATTCTTTCGTTATGCTTGAGTGAATACCAAGTAAAATGTATTTTTAATATTCCATAATAAGAACTTATCACACGATTCTCATTGTGTTTTAATCTTCTAAATTGCAATTTTGAGAAATTATATTTGCAAAATTTTTAAACAACCAGCACCTAAGTGAGACAGTTTTAAATATTTACGTTCATGTTGTTTTAAGTTCAAGTAGGTATTCATTGAATTATTAATCATAGAAAAAATATGAAATTATTTGCTGTTCATAATTGATAATGACTGTTCTCTGACATATACAGGGTGCATGAAATTTTCCTGATATAATTTGTTGTTTTGATTGCAATTCTGTTTTGACCTCCAATTATTTTTAAATTTTGGTATGTTCTGTAATCATTATTATGCTTCAAAATATTTGCATTGATAATAGTTTACCTAACTTATTTAGATACTGAAATATGCAAAATACATTATTTGAACGCAAATCTGTGTTGATATATATTGGATTTATTACAAAACATTACCTCAAAATAAACCAAATTAAAGTTTATTTTTACATACTTAATGTCTCTCTTAGTTAAAACTTTAATTTCTCACTCTTTTGTTACATATTATTTTTATTATTTTATTTGCTAGGTACAAAATGTAATTCCAGATAATTGCCCGAGAGGGTACCGAAATTCCCGTGCGCGGTTCTAATACTTTCCAATTATTAAATCTTTTTTAGTCAATGTGACCGTTATCTGAAGTAGGATATTGTATTAGCAATGATTTTTTTCTCGACATGGATAAAGTCAAAATTTTACATTGTAACATTCCAAAAATAAAAAAATTATCAGTTTTAAGAAATCAGGAATATAGTTAATAAACAAGAAATAGTTTCTCACAAATCCTATTTTTTGTTTAAAGAATATATTGCCACGTGTAGGCAACCCATCATACGCCAAGAACCCTATTGTGGGTTGTCTAGATCTCGCTAGTAACAAAGAAGATCAGGCTCTAGATCCCTCGTTCATGCTTGCTTTCATGTCTTCATGGCTGCTTTTAATTCTTCTTATTTCATTTTTCATTTTTTGGACCTGTTCTGGAAGTATTCTAGTATGTTAAATTTAGAGCATCTGGTCCTTGTTAATAACGAGATGTAGACCCACTACAGGTATCTTGAGCTATGATGGGTTGCCTATACGTGGCAATATATATTACTTTCACACATTTTATTCTCTTATTAAATCTTTATCTTTTGAGCTTTATATTTAATTTACCACTTTAATGTAGTCATAGATTTTCTAACAAATTTCGGTTTTTTTTTTAATATCTAGTCTGTTACCCCTACATTCATTCATGAAGATGTTGCATCCCTATTAATTGTCACCTAATAATTAAGTACTTACATGCAGCAATTCTCTGATCTCTTATTATATCCTTAATATTGTATTTAATTAATTATTACAAAGACAGTTTATTTGTGAAACAAACTGTGGGTAATTTGCTTCGAAGTTTTTTATTATTATTAGTAGCTATTTTATATTTTGTTCCTGTATGCATGGCATTAAGATTGAGTATTTCATTCAGACTATTCTTTGTTGTATCTCTTGTGTGTAATTAATTATTCTAGGCGTAAAAGTAAAGTATACATCCTGCTTAAAATCTTTATTGACTCAACACAACACAAATAGTTGCTTAATACTGCCCTGTCAACATGTGAAAAGAAAAAAAGTAAAATCGGCTATTAAAATGCAAGCACATGCTTATTCATTCGTATATTTGTTTATAAACAATTGTACGCATTTTATGAATGAAAGGGCTCATTTGACTTGTTAAATAAGTAAGTAGCAGATGACACCACTGTAAATTACATTTAAATGAATGATTTTGTAGAAAATCGCTGTTTTACGTAAATATGTCGCGTTTTTTAACACTAGTTGAATACAGCGTATCTAGTACAGCTCGTAGATATTCGATATTAGCGAGAATTTTTTTCGCACTTACTTGCAATATTTGAAGGCCACGTAAATGTTTAAATCACTTTGCGTCTATTAAGGACACTTTTTCTACAGATAAAACTGCATTTTGTCGTTACACAATCACTTTAAAACTCTTTTTTATATACCCTATTTATACAGAACATTATCATCAGTCAATTGTATGCATCATTGATAAACGGGGTGTATGTTGGGTTGCATGTTGTAGTTTTAATCCTTTGATTAGTTATCAAATGCCCTATTTGTTCTAATAATAATCTGTTCTTAAACTGGACCTTGTTAAATCGAATCTTCAGTTCAAAATACTCCTTCATTACAGTATACATCCCTCCCGTTTTTAAGGAGGTACACGAAAATTTTAATAAAATTTGAAAATACAAAATCTATAAATAGAGTCCAAGTGTACACAATGAATTAATTATTTTACCTTTGAAAATAATTACTACAGTTGTCGGAATTTGATAATATAATTATGTAATTAACGAATGACATTGCATTTAGAGCAAATATGAAAAGTATGTCATATTATTTTAACGGAAATGAATAGTTTTTTAGAAATATTTAAATAAATAAATAATCATCTACGATGATTTAGTTTTTAGTTTGATATTATGTAATACTTTCTATTATCTTCTTTTCGTTTCTTTTCTTAATGATATTTTGTGATTTAATAATATTTCTGTATAGGTATATTCAAATTTTGAAAATAAAAAACGTTTATCAAGAAACATCCTTAATTTAAAGATTTCTTTTTATATTTACAGATGTTATAGTCGTTTCCTATATTTTTTTTCGTGTAAATGTAATAAAGGTATTTTTTTTCTTTTTAGGCATTCTCACTGACGTTCAAAAGTACTTCGATATCGATGACGCCTCTGGGGGCTTAATACAAACAGTATTTATTATTAGTTATATGTTATTTGCTCCACTTTTTGGATATTTGGGTGATAGATACAGTCGAAAAATTATCTTAGCCTTTGGGGTAACATTATGGTCACTGACGACCCTAGCAGGTTCCTTTATGTCGGTAAGTAGTTTTACAATCAATAACATACCATTCTTGTTTAATTATCAATAAGCTGATTTAAACTGTATACGTTTTTATTTTAATTTTTTTACTTTATAAAATATGTATTGACTCCTTTTTAGAATTTCTATCTCTTCGTAATGTTCAGAGCCCTTGTGGGCATTGGGGAGGCAAGTTATTCGACCATTGCTCCGACAATCATAAGTGATTTATTTGTTAAAGATATAAGGTCAAAAATGTTAGCGCTATTTTACTTTGCAATACCAGTAGGAAGGTGAGTATTTATTTGCGATTTTAAAATATTATAAAAGTTTGTCTATTTCTTCCTGTATAAGTTTTAGATTTTCTTTTGAATTTGATTACAATTTTAACGGTTTTATTTCATCTTATTCTACTTTTCAAATGATAACTTATATTAGAAAATTGTTTTAAAAGTTTCTACTGATTATGAGACTAATATATGACAAATATAGTATACCCACTTGTATGGCAAAAACGATCTATTTGCATGTTACTTTCCTATAGTTTCGTTATCTTTATTTGTAAATATCAATCAATTAAAAAGCTCGTCTGATAAGGACGAGTGAGTGATACAGTTTTTATTTACTAAATGATAAATATTCTATAATAACATCATCGAATTGCCTATTTCTATCCCATTACCTGCCTATACATACAGTAATTGATGAATATGACGGTAATATTCACAAAAATAAATAAATAACTGTTGAAACTATTATTAAATTAATCGATTTCGAATTTTTTAATAGCAAATACAAATATAAAATAATAAATTACCTACATGCCCAAAATAACTGTATTCATTGCAAAATAATTAATTCTTATAATTGTATTATTTAGTGTTACGGTATATTTTTATAAACAATAGTATTTTTTAGCGGTCTGGGATACATAGTTGGATCTCAAACGTCATATGTAACAGGCCAGTGGCAATGGGCATTACGAGTGACCCCGATAATGGGCGCAGCAGCAGTCATACTGATCCTGCTCCTGTTGGACGATCCCGAACGGGGGAAAAGCGAGGGTAGCGGACACTTGCAGTCTACGTCTTTCCGGGAAGACATCTCAGACATTTGTCGAAAGTGAGCAAACCAGAAATGTAAAATATGCAACAACTATTCCATAACTTCGTTGTTTGTTTATTTGCTTATTTATCGTTGTAGTAGGGCAATAATGAAAAAATTTACGAATCTAAATGATTCAGGTTTTCGTTTCTTTGTCTTTATTGTCGTAATGAGTCAATAAGGAAAGCAGTTACGAGTCAAAATGATCCCGGTTTTCGTTTGTTCGGTTTTATTGTTGTAATAAGTCAATAATGAAAACAGTTACGAGTTTGAACGATTCTGTTTTTCGTTTGTTGGTTCTTATTGTGTTGTTGAGTCAATAATGAAAACAGTTACGAGTCAAAATGATCCCGGTTTTCGTTTGTTCGGTTTTATTGTTGTAATAAGTCAATAATGAAAACAGTTACGAGTTTGAACGATTCTGTTTTTCGTTTGTTGGTTCTTATTGTGTTGTTGAGTCAATAATGAAAACAGTTACGAGTCTGGTCGACTCAGTTTATAGTTTCTTTGTTTTTATTGTATTGAGCCGATAATGAAAACAGTTTGCCTATAAACAGTCACTTTAAAGACTATTAAAAAAGAAGCAGTTCCTTAGACAAATGTAATTAAATTGTTTTAATTAAAGAAATTTCGAAAATATTTTTGAGGATAATGTCAGTAGTTTAGCTTTTTTATTTTAAGATATCTTACTCAACGTTACTAATAATTTATGTTTTTAGTGGAAGTTTTCTGTACTCTACTGCTGGGTTCACGTGTGTAGCATTTGTGGCAGGAGCTCTGGCTTGGTGGGGCCCAAAATTCATCTTTCTTGGCATCAAATTGCAGACTAGTGGTGGTGATGTATCAGAAAACAGGTAAAAAATATCATTTGGTCTTTAAATGGTTGCAAGTGACAGATTTTTCAATATTTAATTTTAAATTTTACTTTTACAACTTTTGGGCATAAAATCTTAATTAATTGGAATATATTTTTTTTTACTGAATGTTCAATATTTTCCAAATTGTTTGTTTATCTATATCAGACTTTAGGAGGGGGGAGAGGGTTATTTTGTTGTTTTCCATTCCGATAAATATCCGTCGATGGGGTTGGGTTTCAGTGTTTCCCTAACGTTTGGCATAGTGGCAATGCTTGCGGGAATTTTGGGCGTTCCCGCCGGAAGTGCCATGGCCCAGTACTTGCGTCACAGGTATTCGAGGATAGACCCGCACGTGTGTGCCTTCGGACTGCTCATGTCAAGTCCTTTGGTCTACTGCGCGTGTGTCACTGCCTCGGTCAGTACTGGACTGTGTTTCTTTTTCGTTTTTCTCGGCGAATTCTTCCTCAATCTGACGTGGTCTATTGTGGCTGATATATTATTGGTAAGAGACAAAAAGGAAAATAAATAGAAGGCAAAAATAGAAAAATAAAAGGCGGTACCCAACGGGATTTGTCAATTGACCTGTTTTTTGTTTACTGGACGATAAAAGTCTAGAAAGTGTTTAAATTTTAAAAATAATATTCATTGGGGGCAGAGTACACCCAGAATTTTATGTAATTACCCTAAAAAGTTGTTTACTCTGTTGAAAAATGATGAGTCATGAAGTGAAACTTACCCTTGCTTGTTTTCTTCTTATATTAATTTTAATTTTTTGTTTTCGTATATTTTTCATTTGTACCAGTACAGGTGAGAAATTCCTTCAAGTGGAGTTGAACGATTGCTGGTATTGTTTCAGTTTATCGTTGATTTTCGGCGGAATAACGATGATGGCTGGTATCATTGGATTGTGTCTCGGGTGTTATTTGAGCCAGTCGTTGAAAAAGAGGTACTCGAGGGTCGATCCCATAATTTGCGGCATCGGTTTGTTGGCGTCCGCGCCCCTTCTCGTCGCATGCACTTACCTCGCCGTCTCGAACACGGCGTCATGTTTAGTGGTTCTGTTCCTAGGGCAGGTCGCGTTGAACTTGAACTGGGCAATCGTTGTCGATATATTGTTGGTAAGCGACACAAAAATAAAAACTAAAAATAAATTGATAATACTTATCGTTATTCAACTATACTTAAATGGGTCGTGGAGATTGTACCTATCTTTGTTGATTGGTCTACGTGTTTTTTTTTTCTTATTAGTGGCTCTATTCCTATTTTGTTTTCATTTTGTTAGTTTGTTTTTGGAAATCTTTCCCTTTGCTTGTTGTATCATGTAATTGTTGTGACTAATATTAATAACCATAGGAGCATTTTAAGATTAATCGAGGAGAATGTCCTTTTCTACTTCTTTTCTCATATGTAATAGAATAATTTTGCAGGGCAGAAAACATGACCTCTTATGTTTTTCTGATCATTCTTCAAAAATAATTTTCAAGGTTTACCAGCGTTTTCTTTGCAACGATTCCAATTATTTACTTTTATAAAATTATTTACTTTTATAAAATGATCGATTTGTTATTGATTACATTTTAATTTTTTTAACTTATTAACATTCCATATTTCAAAACCAATTACTTTCTTAACAGCATAATCTATAAAAAAACCAATCCACGCTTTCATTATTTAACAGGAAGCTTAGCAAGTGGAAATTGCTTGTAGAATATAAAGCTTATTCGATTACAGGATTATGAAAAATTTATACCATTCAGTTCTTAATATTCTGTATTTTTATGTAATACGAGGGTGGATTGATAAGTTTCCGGCCTGACCAAGAAAAACAAGGTTTTTAAAAATTTTTTTTTTTTATTTCTCAACATAATCTCCTCCAAGGCTGATACATTTCTCATAGCGGTGTTCCAGTCTATTAATGCCATCTCTATAGACTGATTCGTCAAGCTCCTCAAAATAACCATTTACAGCTTCGATTACTTCTTCATTGTCCGCAAATCTCTTACCGCCAAGCCATTTTNTACATTTTAATTTTTTTAACTTATTAACATTCCATATTTCAAAACCAATTACTTTCTTAACAGCATAATCTATAAAAAAACCAATCCACGCTTTCATTATTTAACAGGAAGCTTAGCAAGTGGAAATTGCTTGTAGAATATAAAGCTTATTCGATTACAGGATTATGAAAAATTTATACCATTCAGTTCTTAATATTCTGTATTTTTATGTAATACATTAGATTCTTCTTTTATTTGTTATATTTATGCTAAAGGCTTAATTAATTGATTAACAAAATGCTTAAACTTTTTGTTTTTTTATACCCCACATATAACAAAATTATTATTATTTTTTTACTTTATTTATTTTTGTATAGCTGTATGTTTCAGATATTGTGGTTACACGTATGAATTGTTTATTAATAATACATCAGCAAATTCCACTTGAATATAATTATACTTTTATTTCATTATTAATTTAATTTTATATTCGCATAATACATTTTCCACTCATACCATTCATGTAGTCGTTCATCCACAATAATTTATACCATTATTTGATTTTATTTAATATTTATAATATGCGGTTTATTCAATTAATATATTGATGTGTCTTGTGGACTAATTTTTTACTAATAATTTAAATAAACGTTAGTTAAAAAGTGTCCATGTGAATTGCCCAGTTCCAGTTGCAACTGATAACCCATATAAACTGAAACATACCAGCATAGTGTTTTTTCATTTTAATATTTTTGCTTTTTGTTTATGTAGTTTAGTGAATGTATATATGAAGTTTGTTAATGAAATTTTCTTATTTTTCTTCAAATTAATTCATAAACAAATTTTCAATTCATAGTATGTCGTATTGCCTACGAGAAGATCCACTGCCGAAGGCTTACAGTTACTTATTTCCCATGCCCTTGGTGATGCGGGTAGCCCGTACTTAATTGGAATTGTAAGCACACTATTATTGTCTTGTTTACATTAATAACAATATTATAGTACTTACTTAAAAAAAAAATGTAATCAAGAGTTTTTAAAACTTCTTCTAAAAGTACAGCAAATATCACAATAGAAAACACTTGTTCACATTATCGATTTGTTCACGTTAACGAATGTTTTATTTAATATGTAATGAATATCTATAATTAACGAAATAATTATTAAACATTAGTGAGATATGTGTCATTTTTTTGCCTAACAGCTTTTCTCCTAGTTTTTATAGTGGTCATTTTAACATGGACATATCATTTTGTAGGTTTCCGAAGGACTGAAAAATATAATGGCACACGGATCAGGGATTGAAACAGATTACATTAAATACAAAGCCCTCCAGTACGCATTGTTTATCACATGCTTTGTAGAAGTACTTGGTGGAATATTCTTCCTTATCACAGCCTGTTACATAAAAAAAGACAGGGAAAAAGTGGTGCTCGCAATTAGAGGTATTGTAAAAGACTTAATTATAAAATAAAATGTGGATTTAAAAACGAAGCATTATCAGTATGAGAGAAATCTAAATTAAATATTTTATTTTATTTTTTTAAGCATATTTTTTCTAGTTCATCAAGTGTAAAATTAATATTTGCCTTTTATTCGTGTGTGCTTTTGGATAATAATTTTCTTATCTATCTTGCTCAATTAATCTGTTTTTCTTTTTTCGACGATTGTTTTTCTTTATTTCCTGTATGCTTTTTCCTCTCTAGAAACTAAAGAACAGACCGAAGTTTCGGAGGTAAATCAAACTGATTGAAAGCTGGCGAATTGGTTTCGTGTTCTTTAGGGTAAAAATTCGTAGTTTCTTTTTGGTATTTGTTTATTTGATTAACATAAGTCAAGGTGTCGGGGGGTTTATTACTAACCGATTTCGTGAAACCATTAATCACAAATTCATACAAGAACTAACAATTTATTTAATACATAATAACAAAATTTGATTTCAAATCTCAAAAAATGATAATAATTTAGCACCTGTCTTTTTTACTAAGTTTGAAAATTGAAAAAATAATTTAATTCAATTATCTTATGAAGTAGTGGAATCCATTTTGAATAAAATAGGTGTTTAAGCGCCCTGTATGTATATGTAAAAGGCTTCATAACTCAGAGAAGCACTATGTGTATTAGGGTCTCAACCTCAATGAGTAGTTAAATATTGTTGAAAAATAATTATCCTGAAAGGTAAGGTCTATAAACTTATTAGCAATTCAGAAGTATTGTTTGTTCATTAAAGAAGTGCGGGACGACTAGCCACACGTCTTAGATGCACCCAATAAGAATTAGATCTGTTTCATTTAAACAATAATTTTTTAAGGTGTTATTCTAATTTATTTTTGATAATTACTTTTCAACAAGCATTTGAAATGTATATTTGTACAGACTTCGTAACGTAGTTTCACTTTTTTTCAGCTACATCTGATGACCAAGAAGTGCAAAATATAAACGCAAGTGAACCAGAAACACGAACATTAATAGAGAAACGTTAAAGCGTGTTATGTGTGAACAAGAATGAAGAAGTGGTATTAAAAAATTTTTAATAGATAAAAGTATTGTGTGTTAATCAGTCGAAATAATATTTTATGGAAACGAAGAAGAAAATTAGCATCATGGCAAGTTTGGTTGTGGATTTTTTTATATTGCTATTTATTGTTTTTACTAAGCGAGTAATAGAAGAAAAATTAAAGAAAAATGTATTCTAATGTCTTCTGTTCGAGACTGAAAAATTAAGAAATTACATGTTAACGATTAGTTAAATTATTCGCTTGTCTTTTTATTTTTACTCTGGGCTTTGAAAATAACATTTTAGTACTGAAGAAATAATAAGTTATCCATTGTTAATTAAAACTACTACTACTACTACTTCTAAGTACAATTTCAAGCCCTTTGTATATTTATTATTATACATTATAATCTATTAAATTATGCAATTTTTTTGATATCACTAGTTTTAATTAATTTAAACGATCAGGGATTTAAATACAAATGCATAATTTCATAAAGTTCCTTTTCCTACCCCAACAGTATTTTTCTGTGAACCAACATGTAATAAGGATTTGTTTTTTTTTTTTTTTCTGTAAGACGTTTTCTCTATTGTTA